ACCTAGAAAATGACCATTTAAAATGAACAAGGTTTTTTTTTTTTTTGAGTTGGAGTCTCACTTTGTCGCCCAGGCTAGAGTGCAGTGGCATGCTCCTGGCCACTGCAGCCTCGACCTGCAGGGCTCAGGCCATCCTTCCACCTCAGCCTTCCAAGTAGCTGGAACTACAGGCGTGCCCTACCACACCTAGCTAATTTTTTTATTTATTGTAGAGACGAGGTCTCACCATGTTGCCCAGGCTGGTCTCGAACCTACAGGCTCAGGCAGTCCACTCGCCTTGGCCTCCCAAAGTGCTGGGATTATAGGCTTGAGCCCCCATGCCTGGCCCGTGAACAAGGTTTTATTAGTTGCCTGGCTGCGCATTGGGAGGTACCTGCTGCCCTAGCAATATGGTTTCAGATGGTGTTTCAAACTGAGATTTACGATCATTAAAATTTGTATCATCAGTAACTAGCCAACAGAATATTAGTAAATTTAGATAATTGGAATAACACATTTAAACAGATTCCTACATTGAAACAGTTAAAATAATAAATACAGCCTGCCTGGATTCTTAAGCATTCAAGGTGTTGTAGTTTTATGATTCTTTGTTATTAAACCAAGTCAACACCCAATGTAAGAGTAATTTTTAAAAAATTCTTTCCAATGTGTTACTTTGGTCATCATTTGAACTTTCTCCTGATTAGTTCTTTTACCTTTGGCTGCTATCAAATAGATGTTTGCTTATAATTTCTCTCTCTCTCTCTTTCTCTCTCTTATGCTGAGCAGATCATGAGTTGCATCATCCTACATGATTTTGGTTTTGGCACTTGTATTTTCTCATCAGCAGTTGAGTGCTATTGTGCAGGGCTTTTGAATTCTCCCTTCTATACTAACCCTTGATCTCTAAATACCACTGATAAAAGAACAGAGACACTAAACAATCACACTGGAATCTCCTGTCTGATTTGTGCCCAGTTCATGGTAGCAGCGGGTCAGAACAAGCGGTGTTTTCCTTTTCTGCAGAAAATTATGCTCACTTAGAGTGTGGTCACCTAAATGTGTAGGGACACAGGAGAAAATAATATTTTGTAAGACTTTTTTTGGTGTTTATTTTTCCCAGATGACTTGGTAAATTTCTCCTGTTCTTGTCCCTCCTCTCTTTCTTTCTTTTTAAATTTCCCTTTTAATATATTGGAGTTTTGGTAGGATGAAGAAAATGGTTGAGAAATGCTTTGTGGTCAGTTCTCGCGTTAGCAGACATTGAATGGCCACTGCTGGGTGAGGAGCAATGTGTAAAATAGCAGACACTAATTAGTAAATATGATTATACCAAAACCAAATTCACTTCATTTCTAAACATAGCAACTAGAACCTGAATATTCAACATGAAAATATAATCACAGACTCTTTGATTTTTTTTCTCTCCAGATTTTTGCAATCAACTCTACAAACATAAACAGAACAGTAAGAAAGAGCTTCTTCCTCCAAAGAGTTCCTGATTTTTGCTGTTGTTCACATTTTCATTTGAGAATTGACAGAGTTATAGATAAACCTTGATTCACATATTTGGCTTTGGAAATAGAACTTTAATTTTGAATTTAGATGTGTTTAGGTATGCTGAGATTTTTCAAGCATTTCAAATAAAAAGAGAAATATACTGATAAAGCCTGATGTGGTATTTCATAAGGTAGCTTGTTGTATCTCTCCTCTGTTCGCTGCTGTCTGGTGGATCCCCCAAGCTTTACAAATGGTGGCTGGGGCTCGCTTCTTTGTTCTTTAACTGCTGTTTGTATACCTGCTCCTTGCTGGCTGGTACTGGGAGAAGTAAATTGGAAAGGTAATTTGTATTTCAGCTTAAATGGAAAGTCCTGTCTTGGGATCAGGGGGAGAAAAAACCAGGACTAAGATTGAGATGATCCTGAAAATACCATGAGAGCAAACCTGCAGGGAGAAGTCAGATAGACACTGAATGCTTTTGTATGATGCATGCTTCATTCTCCGATAATTAAGTTTATGCACATTGTCAGGACACTATTTGATTTTTAAAAAATGTTTTTATCTGGATGTTGAATACAGTATCTTGTATCCTCATTTATGTGTGTATTCTAAGATGATCTGTACCAACTGGTAAAGGAGGGAGCTGGATTTTATGTTTGGGGGACCTACAATTTTGTACTGATGGTTTTCTCTGGGAGTTTAGATGCCCTGAGACACAGGGTAGCACCCCCCAATTAAAACTAAAAAGTAGCAAAAACTTCACTAAGGAAGACCTCTGATAAAAGATGTGTTAGGCCGCATTAACCCTTTGTTAAGTTAGTTAGACTTTAACAGGTTTCAGCAGAACAGTTTCTCATGTTCATTCAGTGGTCCTGAGACTGGCATTTTCTATTAATGAGCTTTGCCTAGTAATAAGTGACTATTCTAAAATGGTGAATAATTCTGTTTGCCAAAGCCTCAGCCTCCCAAGACCTGTGACATGTCACTTACTTTGAAAGGCACTTTTAGAGCAGGTCTAGCCCTCTTCAGCATCCCCTCCCCCATCCATTTCACATTTTGCTGCTTCTCTTGGAAAGAATTGCAGCAGAAACCAATGTTCTGTGAAATACAGACCGTGCTAATTATCAGAGTCCTTTTCTTTAAAAAAAAAACTGAGATATAATTCACATACCATAAAACTCACCCTTTTTAAGTGTACAGCTCGATGGTTTTTAGTATATTTAGAAGGTTGTATAAACTGTTAGTATTGGATAATTCCAGAACATTTTCACCACCCCAAAAAGAAAACCTACAGCCATGAGCTACGATGCCCTTTCCCTGCAATCACGAATCTACTTTCTAGCTAAAGTTCTTTTTTATATTACAGTGAATCCATTGCTGTATGAAATACGGGGAGGGGGAGACACAAATAAACTCTTAGGGTTCATTTTCAGCTTCTTACAGGAATAAACTCTTAGCCTCTTATTTACAGCTGGTCACTTCTGGGCCCCTGTGTAAAGGGGAAGATGGTCTGCCTAGCCTCTGAGTTCACTTTATTTACTTTTACTGCTTATGATTAAATATACCAATAACCTAAAATATTAAATGTATGATAATATGCAAGAAGCCAAAACTGACCTGCTAATGGAATTAATTTATGGCAAACACCCTCTTGAATTCTAAGTCCAGAGTCACCAGCAAAAGCATTACAGTTCCTCTCAACCTTTCTGTTCTGTAACTTGTAGGATAATCAGAATTTAAATCATATAGGACATTGCCAGTCAAAACCAGAAAAACAGGTAGCTTGAACAGATTGCAAGCTTGAATATATGTGTCAAATATACCTTAAATAAATGCTTTGGATTCCTGCCCATTGCACTTGTATGAGATCTTGAAGTTGGTGAGTTTGGAAGATGAATGGGGGTTAATTTAAAGCTGGAGGGAAGTACCAATTCACAGCAGTTTCCCTTGACTACAGTGGAAAGAGTAAGACATTGCAAAGTGCTAATGAAATATGAGATGTGTAAGGGAACCACTGGGGGGACCTGGGGACTGCTCACCAGGTGCCCTTGGCTGGTAATACGAATTTATGAGCTGAAGGATGTGTGCTTTGTTGCTCAACTCTCCCGGAATATCCCACAATGGCTTCTTAAAACACTTGAGTGGTGGGCCTTCTCCCAAAGTTTCCACTTTTGGTGTAACTCTGTTTTTCAGTCTGAGTATTACACGTAGCCCTCTTTTGTAGGCTTGCTTGGCAACCAGCTCCAGAAGCTGGCATCCTTCCTCTGGGGCCACAGTGATGGAGAGCAGGGAATGCGGGCTCCACGGAAACCAGGGTGTGGGTGTTGGGGAAGCTGGCAGATAGATACAGAAATCCAAACTATGAGAGGTGGGGGTAATGGTTGAACTTTTTTACAGGAAGAGCTGGTAATTGTTTAATGCAGTGCCCTTTTGTCTCTTGCCTACCTGGCTGTTTTGTAATAATATAAATGACAAGTGCTGGAGGCTTGGAATTCATGTGGCTCTCCTTCCCTCAACTTGGCTGATAAAACAGGAATGTGTTATTTGGGATAAATACATCAAAATGTTGTGGCTTAAAAAGTGCTTTGAACAGAGTTGAGACCATTTGAAACCAGGACGCGCTTTCTGCAAAGATTAATTTCCTTCAAAGATGGCTAGGTTTTTCTGTTTAGTCTATTAAAACAGTCTATTTTTTTGAGGGGGAGAAGGGTATCTACATACGAATATTTTCTTCTCCACCAAGTTAGGCCTCATCCCTTTTCTTCTGTTTTTAAAATTAAGTAATGCCTGTTCTTGCCCTCACCTTCAAAAAATTCCCAATAGGATAATAAAGTAAAAAATAAAACTTCTCTCACCTGTCCTTGCCCTTCACCTCCTAGATTCCCACTATCTTGTAATAACTACTTTTTAGCCTTTTGTTATATTTCCTTCTAGTAACTATTCAGTGATTCAGTGAACATGTAAATGTATCTGTGTGTATCTGTAATACTTTGCAGATGGCATACCTAAACCCTTCCAGTGACATCCTAAATAGGTGACATGACTTTACTTTTAAGTGATGAACTTCACTGCTCCAGTAAAAAAAAAAAAAAAATGTGTCATTTTAAGAGTAAACCTTTGAGATGTAGTGGCATGCAGAGAGTTACCATGAATTGATATCCATACCACAGATTGAATTTGTCTGCTACATGAGAAAGACCCTTCTGTATTATGGTTATTGATTTAGGACTGTTGCTTAAAAACTGCTATATGATCTTTTACAATTTCTTTGAAAAATCTCCTTAAAAGGAAGAAACATACAACGGAGGGAGGCCCTTTGGGGTAACACTAATGTTTACTTTTATGGCCACTGCTGAGTTCTTCTGTTTTGTGTGTCTTGGGGTGTGTTGGTTCACAGCTAAGAATAGAGCTCTAATTAAAATGGGCATTCTCTCTAGAAGTAAGAACTATATCTCAATTAGTAAATTTCCTGTTTTCTTACATGTGTTTTTGTTTTGTTCTCTTCTAATTTTTTTAAACAGCAAGCGAGGGCTGAGCAGGAAGAAGAATTTATCAGTAACACTTTATTCAAGAAAATTCAGGCTTTGCAGAAAGAGAAAGAAACCCTGGCTGTAAATTACGAGAAGGAAGAAGAGTTCCTCACTAATGAGCTCTCCAGAAAATTGATGCAGGTAAATTATCATTTTTACACTCTCATCTTCCCTGCCGGCTTTCCTCTCTGAGAAAAAAACAGGACTTTGATAGAGCACTTTGCTTGAAACATTTGCTGATGAGGTTGTAGCTAAAGTTGTTCGTAGATTAAAAATACCAGGTAAGGATGGCAGCAGTGTGATACCCAAGACTGTGGTTCCATAGCTCATTTGCTTAGGCAAGGTAAGCTGTTTTGTACCCTGAGCATTTCACAAAATTGCTGATGAGCACGAGACTTTAGTATGGGAGACACTGTATGCAGCATTTTGGAACTTTGGGGATTAACACCAAATGTGAGATTGTTTTTCTCCTTTGATATTGAATTGATAATGAGTACATGAACTTTTTGGCACTCATCAGTGGGTCTTTTGTATTAAAATGAGGATATAAAGTAAAATGGCTAGGAAATAAATAGATATTCATGATAGTTAAAAATACACACAATCAATCATGTTCAAGTGAGTGAGTAATATGTTACTGGACAAATATCAGACTGCTAGTAAAACTTAACATTAATCACTAATATATAAAACCACACAAAATATATAGGAACGTTTGATTTCTCTAGTTCAGAGACTGATTTCCTTGCCTTCTCTCCCCCTTCCCTTTATTTTCTTCAAAACTTAACTGGTAAAGCACAAAAGTACAATTTGTTTAGGACAAGTAGTTTGTGGGTTAGTTATTATTAATTTAAGGATAAGTGGGATATTGAGTTTGCTTTGTTTAACACAGCTTGTCCAAAATAGCGAGCAAGTATAAAATTATTACAAGAGGAACAGTATTACCACTTTGTCCTCCTTAGATGTCTATGGAAGAAACATCTCCTTATATTTTCTATTCGTTGTCTTCACTAACAATTTCATTTATGAATTTGGTCCAAATGTATATTTTAGTGAGGTTGTAGTAAGATATCTGAGACTTTAAAAAAAAAAACTTTCTAAATTATTTTCTTACCTCCCCATGTAGAGATGATCCTGGAAGCTTTAGTATAGAACCTTTAATGTTAAGATCATGCAGTGGTCCAGGCAACTTTTATCCCAATTTTTCTTTTATTCTCATTTTTCTATCTAATTACTGAATAAAGATACTGTTAGTCTTATGCAAAAGTTGATTTACATGCTAGCTGTTGAAATGTGAAGAATATAGATACCTAGCCATTACTGTCTAGCAGAGATTTGTGGTACAATTTTTGCACTGCAAGTTTTTGTTTATTCATTTGCATTGTGATTCAGAGAAAAAAGGAGGAGGGTTAGTTTTACCTTTAACTATATCTCACCTTCATAGCATTAGATTAGGGGTCCCTAGGCCCCGGGCCATGGACCAGTACTGGACTGCACAGCAGGAGGTGAGTGGCAGGCGAGCCAGCGAAGCTTCGTCGGTATTTACAGCTGCTCACCATTGCTTGCATTACCACCCGAGTTCTGCCTCTTGTCAGATCAATGGCAGCATTAGATTCTCATAAGAAATCGTCTTTCTTCCATGAGACTGGTCTCTGATGCCAAAAAAGGTTGGGGACTGCTGCTGCATTAGAGGACTTATACATGGTGCTTCTAGAATTGTAGAGATGCCCTTTTATGGTTTGTTTTTTTCCTGAGTTCAATGTTTATTCAGGTGTTCTAATTATTTTTAAGAGGTAAGTTCTTGCTTTTTTGCCCAGGTGGAGTGCAGTGGTGTGATCATAGCTCACTGCAGCCTCAACCTCCTGGGCTCAAGTGATCCTCTAGCCTCAGCTCTCCAAAGTGCTGGGATTACAGGCATAAGCCCTGTACCTGGCCACTCATTTTAACACTGCAATTTTTCTTTTCAATGTACACAGTTGTTGTTATTTGGAGTATTTAACCAGCATATATTATAGAGCAGTCAAAACCTAGTCAGTTCGTGTTCTTTTTCTCTATAAAAAGATTTACCTTCAATGGGAGTGTTTGTGTATAGTTTATCACTGACCTCTCATTCACGTATAACCCACCTCCTTTCCAAGGACACTTGATGTCCCTTAAAATAAGATACTAAAAGAGAATGAAAACTTAAGAGCCACGTGTAACAGAAAAGGAAGTTACAAATATTACATATTTGGTGTAAGAAGGCTTGAACTTAAAATTTAAACTCTGAGTATTCTAAATATAATGTTATAACTTGGAGAAATATTATATTTGGTTTTTTAAATTAAAAAAAGTGGTTTTTTTGGTTCTATTTGGTTTTTTTTCCTAACCAAATAGAACTTTTAAAAGTTCTATTTGGTTAGGAAAAAAAATAACATGTTAAAAAATTAGAAAAATTTATCGGGGCGGGGGGAGTGGATCTTTCTAATGAGAACAAATAGTATACAAACTGAACAAAACAAAGTATCTTTGCCAAAAAGAAAAAAAAAGGCAGTATATAATGTATACCTGTAGTCTTTGTGTGGCCGTGTCTTATGTTTGGTCTCAGCCAAAGCAAAGAGCATAGTATGAAGGTGGGAGTCTGTGAAGACATTGTCTGGGGAGCTATAGATGGGTCTGTAGCTTGTGGTGATACAGTTTGTAGAATCTGGACAAATGGATGATTAGCATGGACCTGAGACAATCTCCCATGAATCCTGTCTTGGATTTTAGGCTTTTTGTTTTAATATCATGGTAAAATGTATATAACTCAAAGTTTGCCATTTTAACCATTTTTGAATATACAAATGCAGGGGCATAAAGTACATTTGCGTTGTTGTACAACCATCCTCACCGTTTATCTTCAGAACTTTTTAAAACCGAAACTCTATACCCACTAAACAATAGCACACCATTCCCTTCTCCTGGTCCTTAGGCTTTTGAAAGAAGATATACAGCAGGTAGTTTGAAATTGAGGTCTTCAGCAAGTTCTTGAGCTGTGTCCATGCTGTGATATGATAGCTGAACTATCACTTTAGACACCAGGTATAGCAACATACCCATTCTCTGATTAAATACCTGCCCTCTATTGTTGACCAGTTGGAGGGATTTCATAGGTGGGGGTGGGGGGTGGAGCTGTTCAGTTTATGATACTCATCCCCCAGGCTCCCAGTGTCTGTTTCCTTAATGGTTTCAACCAGTCCATTGATGAATGTCCAGTTTTTTGGACACCCAGCATGGAAGTACTTGCTTTTCATCTGGAAGATTTTTAGAGTAATTAATACCAATAGACTTTTCCAACTATGTAATTACTTTAAAATGACTTTCTAGGATGTTTGCTTCTGAATAGGACCTTGTTATGAAAAGCCTGCTAAGAGAAACCATGCCACAGGTGTCACCAATAGACAAATGGGTGAATTGACCTTTCACCATGAAAGTGTTTAGCATTTTCACCCAAAGGCTACTGAGAGGCTATTTAAGGAACAATTTAGGTTTTGTGATAGTGATTGGACAAAGCTTTTATGCGCATTTCAAAGGGATTCTTTGATCCTAAGAACAAAATGAGAATATTGCTATAGGGGAGGCGTGTCCCTTCCTATCCATTATGACCAAGAAGGTATCCAATACTTTTAAAATCAGGTTTACTTAAGTATAGAAGAGAAGAAATTAATTTGCCCTTTAGAAGATCAGGTTTGGGAGATAATTTAAACACGTCCAGAGATGTGAATTCTCACCAGCCCATACAAAAACACACATAGGAGAACATGTAGCTTTTCTCCCTTACTGTCTGCTGCATGCACACAAAATTATATCTTCACCACCTTGTGAAATCTCTTGGCTGAAAAATCTATACCTTCCTATATCTTCCTGAGCCCAGATTGAATAGCTTGGTGAGAAATTGTTCTATAAAGAACCTTCTAGTACATTTGGTAAGCTCAGCATGAACCTGCATCAGAGCTAAATTCTACTCCAGAATGCCTTGATGAGAGATTATAGTTTAATCATTATTTGTAACTGAAATTTACAAGAAATGTGAGGAGTGAACTCGTCATCAGAATTTGATGTACAGTAAGTCCTCACTTAACATTGTTGGAAGGTCTTGGAAACTATAACTTTAAGTGAAATAATGTGTAACAAATCCAATTTTGCCAGAGACTGATTATATAAACAAGAGTTAAATTCCTACTGCATGTTTCCAGTCACAAAACTATCACATTTCCAAATAAAGACCCAAACCACTGCTAATATTAAACACTGAAATGAATGTTTGCTAGACATACATTTAAGAAAGATTAATTAAAGACAAGCAAGATAATTATTTACTCAGTGATTCCAACTCAGGGTCATGGGTGGAGGCAGAGCTTTTCTCAGCACCTCAGTGCATCTCAGGGCACAAGGTGGGAACCCATCATGGCCAGGATGCCATCCAAGTGCAGGGTGCACTCTCACACACACACCCATACTCTCATTAAGGGGCCATTTAGACATGCCAGTGAACCTGATGTGCACATCTTTGGGATGTGGGAGGAAACTGAAGTACCAGGAGAAAACCCATGCATACATGGGGAAAACACAGTGGTCTCTGTGGGGAATTGATTTCTTTTTTCTTCTCATCAACAATACAACAAAACAATGTTCGTCCACAGACTGGGAAAAAAATATTTGCCAACTGTATGTCTGACAAAGGCCTAACATCTAGGATCTACAAGGAACTCAAATGTACTGAAAAGAAAAAAGCAACCCCATTACAAAGTGGGCCAAAGATATGAACAGACACTCTTCAAAAGAAGACATACAAGCAGCCCACAGATACATGAAAAAGTGCTCAGCGTCACTAATTATCAAAGAAATGCAAATCAAAAGCAAACTGACATACTACCTAACTCCAGTCAGAATGGCCATCATCAATAACTGAAAAAACAACAGATGCTGGAGAGGATGTGGTGAAAGGGAACACTTCTACACTGTTAGTGGGAGTGTAAACTTGTACAGCCTCTGGAAAACAGTGTGGCAATTCCTGAAAGATCTAAAAATCAACCTCCCATACGACTTCACAATCCCCCTACTGGGAATATACCTGAAAGAACTCAAATCACTCTATGAAAAAGATACCTGCGTACGCA